CAAGTAGCGGAATGCTACAGAGGTAAACAAACAATATCATTTGGAAGAGGATTAATAAGTGTTGACATTCATACAAATGAGTAATCCTGTAAACGTAAACAGAATATTTTATATAGATTTTTTTTAATGAAAACTTAAAATCCTGCATTATTTTCCGGACAACCCAATAATATTCGTACTGTGTAGATAATCTTGTATTATGTTTTTTAATTTATATAAAACTCCTGCCTTTTTTGTTCTAAAAGCAAGAATTACCATTGAATAAAATCAATCACTTCTTTCCAGATGCACGACTGATGATGCTGATGAATAAGTTCTGCGAAATTAATACGCTCGGGAGCACGGATTATATTTCATATTCACGGAAGTCAGTTAATCAAAAGGGGAAAAAAAAGAAGTCGATCACCTAACTTGGCTTTTTTGTTCTCCTTTCTCTTCCTCAGCCCTCTTCTTACGGAGGCCTTATCCCTTATTCTCCTTTCTTATTATACATTAAAATATCAAACTTTACCTGCCTTCGAAGTCCGCCTCCTTAATAATTCGAAAACTTAAAATTAGATTTTATCTTTGCGGTGTATTTCTAGCGTAAATTAAAAGGGCACGAAGGTTATTGTAAAGAAGAGGAGATTCCATTTTTACCCCTTTGGGAAAGGGGGATTTTTTCCCCTCTTTTTAATTCATTTTCTTTTAGAAGTGAAATTTAAATTAGTCGGGATAAAAGAAGAATTTTGACTTGAGGTTAACAATTATACACTTTTTCGCTGCTGATGTGTTTCTGTATGTTAGATAAGACTGTTTTGCCAGCGGATGGACCCCTTTTGGTTGGTGGTTCAGTATTGATCATCTCTGGGTCAACCTATTCTCGGTGTTTCAGCTTCTCGCTTTCAATAATGTAAAAAACGGATGATTTAAATGACATCACTTTAGAATAATTTATGTTTAATAAAATTTCCTTGTCTTCGTTTTTGAATTTTTAAATAAAAATAAAAGTGATGATATAATGTATTACGTTTTGAGGAAGAAATCCAGGACACAAGTTTTTCGTATTTTTTCTGTAAGTAATAAAAAAAAGATATATGAATAATAGGAAAAAATATTGTTTATTCAAAACGAATGCAATTTGTGTATGTGTGTTTTACTTTAGCAATCTTGTCTATGAAAATTTCCTAATTGAAAGGTATTTTCCTCGTTCTTTACCCAGATTTTTTCGTTTTTTAAACCTGTATGTATTTTTAATTTCATTTTTCGTTGCAATGCTTATCTTTTTTTCTCTTTTACATCCGAGTTATGGTTTCCGTTTTGTGGCATTTTCAGCCCACCTGTCAACGTTTGATCTGCTTATACGACTGTCAGTTCCATTTATTCTCCTTTGCGTTGTATTATGTGTCTCGCACATGCCAACCAATTGTTTCATTTCAGGTGAAGCACCTTTCTTTTTTCCTGTTAAACTTCACTGAACAAGTTTTCACACCGTGCCGATGTGCTTTGGGTATAAAAAGCTGGTTTAAATAGTATTTTTACCGTTGCAGTTCATAAATAGTAAAACCTTCTGATGCTGTAATGATGTAAACAACAAGGGCTAGGTCGTGAGTCGCTGGTTTTAATGAAATGTTTTTTTAGCATCGGCCTAAAGCCACAGTCTAATGACTTCACGAGTACTCTCCAACAAATCCCGCGAGAGGAGGCTCAGTACCGTACGGATCCTTCCCCTTTTCATTTCATCATATTCAGATCACTTTTACTTTTGGGCTGTCACCCCATTGCCACCGTCCTGCTCCCGGGATTATTGGATCCCAGAGGTCTCCGCAGCACAGATGGGCTCCCGCGCGGCACCATTCTGAGCGCTCATCCAGACGTCTGTCCTTAATTATAAGGAATAATAAATGCGATATGTAAAATAAGTAAACTTCAAAATTCGATCATTTCAGACCTGATGATCTATATTTTTAGGAACATCGCCACCAATTTGTTAACGTCCAATGTTTGTTCGAATCCCTTCGTAGTTAATATTTAGGGCAACTGATGCATATATGCTTCATAGGGACTATCTCCGAAATATGTGCTTCTCTCGGAACTAGTTCTATAAAATGTTCCTTTTTCAGAGCTTAAATACCTTTTGGTCCATTAATCGGGTACCGTCTTAATAAGATTGTTCACCATTTCTGAGTAGTAATTCTCAAAAAGAGAGTCTTTTCCCTGAGCCGTAATCTCTTTTGCTAATGATTCAACCTTCTCATTTGGTACAACGCCCGCATGAGCCTTAATGCTCGCAAGTGTGACCCTTCACATTTTTCTTTAAGAAAGCGGATTTTATTTAGGATTTCAAACATTAAATGTTCAAAGGCATGGAATCTTTTATTTGCTAATTTTAAAAACGATCGTACACTCTTAATAAGATATTCGAAATAACGGAACGTATAATAAAAGGAACAGCCATTGTCATCGTTTTATATCCATCAGTATATATTATGTTGTTATTGTTTATTATACATAACTAAGTTCACACATTAATAATTGACATAAAACTAAACACACATTAATAACTTGTTTACCTTTAAAAAACTAATCTTTTTACACTTTTTAGATTAAAAATAAAGAAAATCAGTTCAATTTTATCCTTTCCACAGCCAATTTGTCGAGGAAGTTTATTGACTTCTTTAAATTTTTTTTGATGAAACAATAAATTTGCATGAAAAATTAATTATAATTTTTTCTTCAGCATGGTTTTAAGTCGAGACCATTTCAACGAGCATAGCCAAAGTTCTCGTTGTGCCGGGCTACACAATAGTCTACAGCGGTTTAGGATCACAGGAAGTCTGGATCGATGAGAAAGAAGGTCGACTTCTAAGACGATCGTTTTATTGCTCCAAATCGTCCGTAATGAAAGGGTGAACTCAAATTCAGTCATCAAAAGGCTTCGTGACAGTGGCTTTATCTCAAGACGTCCGGCATCAGGTCCTCTACTATAGGAGTATTGGGAGGCATTGAGTAGACAGTCGACTATTCGCAAATCAGAATCTCACTTGGACACCTGAACAATGGAGCGATGTCCTTTTCACAAATATATGCCGGTTTGGTTTCTGGCACTCAGATGACCGGGACCGTGGAGAAAAGCTTCATGTGCCAGTCACGGCCTTTTGAAAGATGGCCAGTTATGGTGTGGGGTGGAATTAACGCCCTCGCCTGTGCTGAACTGATTACCACAAAGAACGGATCTTTCATTGTACTAAGATACATTGGTGAAGTTTTTCTGGACCAACTTATGGGTCATGATAAAGGGACGGAATGGACATCGTACGCCGCCTCGAACTTTGTTGAGGAATGGAATTCTGTTTCAGAAGGCGAAATCCTGTAGCTTATTTACTCGATATCTAAAAGATATGTTTAATATTTATAATTAGTGGTTGTTTTAAAAACTTTTCGAAGTATTTAAAAAAAAATTGTTTGTGTTATTTTTTCATCAATGTTTATTCCTCTCTTCTTTCTTCATAGTTGTTCACTTGTTTTAAGATGTTTTTAAGTGTTCCAAAATTGAAACCAGACCGAAGAGGGGAGGCTGGTGCTCCTGAAATCGATATCGATATAATAACAGGATATTTTCATTAATTTTTTTGGACGTTTAAGAATTTACACCAATAATCAGCATCTTCAATATCTTCTTATTTAAAAAAAAATTATTATCTTTTAATTTATGAACATTTTATACTGACGAGCAGCATGGCTAAGGATGGAAGAATGGTGATACATATACATTCTACATATACACATTTAAAGATACATAATAAAAAAAATTAAATTAAAAAATAGGAAGATATTGTAGATCTTGATGATGTGTGTAAATTCCCGAAACGTTTCAAACTGTAATGTAAATAAAACTAAAACCATTAAAAAAAACCACATGGAAAAGTTACAAAAACACTTATTATAACTATACAAACAGCCTGTGAAAAAGTTTAATCAAAATAGGTGTTTTCATCTTCTCACCTTGTAAGAAGAATCAAGTAGGAATCGTGTGTTCGTACCTTACATCTCACGATTCCTTAATTCATGAAGTTTTTCCAGTCATGGTTTGTTTAGATAATACATTATTTGTTATGCACCTATTCAAAAAGTTAAGTTTATTTTTAGCTATTGCATGTTTCTTATAAGTACGTTTTAATTTTTTGTAATTGTTGTACACTATACTGTTGTTATGTTTTATTTGTTGAAAAAATATGGTCATTTACTTAGGCACCATTCTTAATTACTATTAGTGTTGTTTCATCGCTGACGTTGAAATTTCAATTATCTCAGGTTTCACTATTTTATGGATTTTTTGTTTGTTTACCCATTCTACTCAATAAAATAGCCTGAAATAATTGCAATTTCAATTCAAGCAATAAAATAACATCAACAAACATTAACATGAAAGTTAATATTTATTCTCAATTATATTGGTGGATCTGAAAGGTTTAGACATTAATTTTGTACGGCAATATTTTGTTAACGAATGGATTAATCGGTTTGTGAAAATTTTTATTGAATCACTTTTTATAAAAAAATAAAATGGAAAACCACTTTTTACTAAATAAAAGATTTATTATCTGCAATATTCTTCTATATTTATAATCTGAAGAGCTGCAAAAGCTGACTATAGATGTTAGATTTTTGTTTAATGAAAGCTACGATAAGTTTACCGAGAGAAATGAATAAACGTCTGTAAAAAGACGTATTAATTTGATTAATTAATCAAATAAGAGTGAACGAAATCATCACGTAAATGGTAATCGAACGAATTCTTAATAAAATTCCATTTTCTCATTTCAATCATTATTTATACGGCTTTAAATCCTTTCAATTCAATTTGCCCTTCGAATGAAATTGATGTAAGGTGGGCTGTCTTCATGAATCAAAGACGAATGAGATTTCATCTTAGATACATGAAGTAATTTGTTACTCTCAATAACATCCCTGTAACAGAGCCACATAACAAACTAGTTAACAATTGAATTTATGCATTCGTTTTTCACATTTTAAACGATGGGAAAAATTTCAATCAATGACAATTCAAAATCGATCAAAAATTTAGCTCTTTTTACTTTATACTGTTTAATATTAGATTTTTCCTGAATATTGATGATTTTTTCTTAAAAGACGAAGTTTCGGCTGTTTTTAAGTGAGTTAAACATTCTTTATATTTTATAATATGAGTTTCTGTCATTGTTAAGCGTGTACTTCTAAGTATCAGCCGATTCACATTTTACTAAGGATGATAAAATATTACGTTCAATCGTACTAAATAAATGCAGATAAGATATGAAAATTTACAACAACCAAAAGACAGGAGTTGCAAGGCGAAGAGTAGATGAAACTACATTTTTGTTGCAAAAATTCAATTCGTTTCAAGCACCCCTTACAACCTTTAAGTACGAATTTTCATTGCGTTAGAAATATAAACTTTTTTGACCGGGGGCAATTTTCTTACTCCCATGTCCACTAAAATGTCATAACTTCTCTGAAGGTTTTGAAATTCAACGTTATTACAACCATTAAATTTACTAATTTCGTAGACCGCTTGACCAATTAATATATTACAATTAATTAAGGTTTTTAGTTGAGATAAAAAAGTCAATGGCACGAGCGGGATTCGAACCCACGATCTTCGGCTAGATACGCCGCTTCTTTTTATCTCAACGAAAAACCTTAATTAATCGTTACAAAGCGTAATTTATCTTTTTTGAGGATTTTTCAACAAGGTATATATTTTATATCATTATAAGTGCGAAAATAAGGATGGAATCGACAAAACTTATTAAACTTTTTTTTATATCCCCAATTCTAATTTATATATACGTTCAATTCACTAATTTCGTGGTCCGCTTGACCAATTAAATTATATATACGGTTTGTTGGGTTGCAAAAGCAAGAAAAGAATCAATCTTTTGCGTATTCATATTTATTGAAACACAATACATAATTATTTTCTGACCAAGCTTTGTTGTAAGTTGGCTAAAACATTTTTCTATGATGGAAAGAAACAAATTTACAGTAGTTTTTGTACCCAAAAAAAACCTGAATAAAAATTGTTGTGGTTAATCAAACAACAATTTTTTGCTTTGCGAACACGTCCGATTTTTTTAAAATCAAAGTAATGGAGATAATTTCAGTGGGACGCCAGACTAGATCCAACCGAAATAAATATTTGTTTGATTCAAAATTTGTATTTAGGGCTTTAAGGTAGGCTTAGTTTAGTTTTTACAACAACACTTCGTCCTGTTTTACTGGAAGCCTCTTTCCGTTTTTGTTACTTTTTATAAATCTAACTTCATTTAATACGAACGATCCTGTATACATTTTTTCCACAGAAAAAACAACAACAACTGATTGAAATCTTATTCCCCAATTATGACACAAAACTGTATTTAAATAGATTATGTAATTTTTATTATTATTTTTTGTTTTGTCGGCTCCCATTGGGTAGAACGCTCGGACATGCGTCTACCTTTCGATGTAGTACCACCAGAAAAGGTGTAATTGTAACCCTACGTCCGTAGCCTCCCCTTGTTAGTGCCAAAAACTGATACAAAATGCCAATTTAATGGACATAACTTTTGGATTTTAAGAATTGATTTTTAGAATAAATTCCCATAAAAGGATTTTCTGGAGTTTCAATTTTTCCGTCAATACTGGGTGTTTGGCTACTAGTGTTTCAAACTTTGCCAATAGATTCTACATTTAAAAAGAAACCAAAAAGTTCTAATTTACTATGGACGGAATCTTAGCAGTTTCGGAGATATTTCACTTTTTCTGTTTTTTTTTTTTTTAAGATTCCACGACCTTGCTTCAAATAAACAATGATAACTCCAAAACTAAAAGGTCATGGACAAACCAATTGATACATTGCAAACTAATAACAAGATGTGATCAATACTAAACCTACAAACAAATCAATGTAAACCATCGTAAAAAAAATGTTTTAATAGCCAGAACTTTGCAACTTTTTTTCCAAGTTGAAAAACTTACTATGGTGATTCAAAACTACTATTTCTAAACCTAGAGACCAGCATATTTCATAAAACGTACTCCATTTAATACCCTCTTTAATGGTGTAATTTCTTTTTTAATTACTTTTTTCATAGATGAAGAAATTGATGAAGGAAAAGAAAAACCGTAGTTGAAGGATTGGTAAGGTGGAAAGGTTAATAATAACAAATAATACAAAACTTTTGAATGAACTTATTAAACATTATTTTAATTTTGATTCGAAATGCTTGTTAGCAAGATATCACAAAGATAACTAAAAACGTTTTGAATCCTAAAACTCTTTTATTCCGGGGAATCAATAATTCTTTAATAAAATTTGTAGCAGTGTTGGTAAATAAGTAAACACTTGCACTATTTCGGTTTCGAACTCAAATTAAAAAAACGTTTAATAAATTTATTACACTTCCTTAAGTTTTTTTTTTTAATTTTCCACCTTACCAATCCGTCAGCCACGGTTTTTTTCCTTTTCTCTATCAATTTCTTCGTCTTTGAAAAAACTAATTAAAAAAGAAATTACACCACTAAAAAGGATATTAAATAGAGTACGTTGTCTGAAATATGCTGGACTCTAGGTTTCGAAATAGTAATTTAGAATCACCGTAGTGAATTTTTCAAGTTGGAAAAAGAAATATTTTTCAAATACTGAAACACTTATTTCACGAACGTTTACAAGTTTAGTATTGATCACATCTTATTGGAAATTTAACGTGGTCTTTCACGTGGTATCAACGGATTTGTCCAAAACCTTTTAGTTTTGGAGTTATCATTGTTTATTTGAAGCAAGGTCGGGAAATCTTAAAAAATCAGAAAACGTGGAATAACTCCGAAACGTTGAGATTCAAGACTTTTGGTTCCATTTTGAATGTAGAATCTACGGGCTAAGTTTATAACACGAGTAGCAGAACACACTGTATTAACACAAATTTAATCTCGACGATTCTTTATTTGATTTTAATAAATTCCATTGTTGAATTAATTTTGTATATTACATTTTTACAAAAACTGATATTGTTACTTTTGACCTTTATTTTTTTCGTTTTGAAACATTTCATTAGCGTTCATGTCATTAATCTGTGTTTATAAGATTTTTATTAATGTTTTGCTATTTGAAGTTTGTGTCAACGAAGTTTTGCATTTTTATCTTTTTTAAATGTTCATCTTTAGGGGTGGCCGCAAGGGTTAAAGCTGACACGGCGACTCATCACTGCAAGGTAAACGTCCTGGGTTGAAATTCAGGGTCGCTGGATCATCATCACGACGTGAGGATTATAAACTGTTAAGAACTTCATTTTTTCATTTGTTTAGTAATACCGAATGTTCAATAAGGTTTATTTAATGTAGATAGCCATTAATGATTTATTTTCTGTTATGGCAACAAATTCTCATATATTTTAGGTGCGTCTGTCATTTTTTTATTACTTATTTTACATTGATTGACGGCAGCTTACAATACAGCTTATATTTTATTATTCATGCAAATGTTATCTTTATAAAACCGGAAAGATAAGCAGAAGCGATATCGTATTGCTTTATTTCAGGTTGACCTAAGGTTGATATTTACTTTTGATAATAATTGAACTGTTGCGTGTAGTACTTCGAGCAATCGGGCCGGCCATGTTAAACATCTCACAAAGGGCAACTTTTTTTTTTTAATTGCAACAATCACGAAGAATGAGCTGTTTACGATTAATAGAAACTTAAAAAAAACACTTTCAAAGTATTTCTTGTGTGAAATAGATTAATTTTTCAATTTTTGAATTTTGCAAACACCAGTTTTGCACGAGTCACAACATAAGAATTAATTTAATTTTGTTTGAGTATTTTAAATATAATATTTTCTAAGACAGTGGTTGTATTTTAACCCACTGTGCATACGATCCGAAAGTGTACCCTTCAACGGTACGAATATTTTAAACTGCCATCATTTTGCACGTAAACCTATTAATAAATAGTATCGATATTTTCTTATATTTCGACCTCAACAGTTTATGATTTTTCCTTCTCGAAGGTGGGATAATACTCTCATCATCTCACGGTCATCTCAAAAAAACAACAACCAGTTTTTCTTTCAATTCAC